TGGTTCTTCCCTCTGTCCTAGTGAACTCATTCATCCTCCCAATTGCAAATGCAAAGCATTTGACACTGTCACGCACAACATCCTTGTGTCTAATTTGGAGAGACATGGATTTGATGGATGGACCACTCAGTGGATAAGGAATTGGCTGGATGGTCACACTCAAAGAGTTGTGGTCAACAGCTTGATGTCCAAGTGGAGAGCAGTAACAAGCGGTGTTCCTCAGGGGTTGGTATTGGGACTGGTGCTGTTTAACATCTTTGTTGGCGACATGGACAGTGGGATTTTGGTGGTTGTCTCTTTTAGTGCTGCTTGTGAAGCTGAAAAAGGACTGATGCTTGGGCAAGAGGGAGCAAATATCCAGCCCCAGAGCTAGAAATATGAGGGATGAATGAAAGAGTGGAAGAACAGGTAAGTTTTTCTACAGATGGCAATGTTTGCTGAAGGGGCCACAAAGCATGTGACGAAGAGTGCGTCTACAGGATGCATTTCTGCATCCAGGCTGGTGTGATAATTAATCTTTTGTGATTCTGACAGATGCCTGCAGAGGAGCAGAAAAAAAAGATCACGGTCTGACAGTGATTAATGCATCGTTATTTGTCAGACTAAGAATTTTGGAAGCGGGTAAATAAGCTGTAGGCCAGGCTGTTGATTGTGTTTGAGAACACTGCAGAGGATTACAATGTGGAGGGGGAGCAAGGGTTCAGGACTTATTTACCACAGGCACTTATTATGTTTGTTACTTGTCTGAAACTACCCTGTTCCCAGAACAGGAGGAGAGGAGGGAAAATGGGCATACGATTTCTGAAACAAAGCTCTGCTTCAAGCTTTGGTTATGCTGAAAAAATGGCAAAAGACACAGCCAACCCCAGCCTATGTTGCCCTGGCATCCTCGTGGGATATGGAGGTGGCTGGACAATGGCTGCTACCATTGTCCAAGACACTGCAACACTGCGAAGCATCTGTGAAGGAGGGAAACATGGTTCTTGCTGTATATATTCACAGCTGTGGATGGTGGCTTTAAGGTAACTGAAGGCTCTGCTGTGCTGTGTGGTCTGCTGGAGAATGCTTCGGCCTTGATCCAAGAAAGGCCTTGTAGCCGCTGAACGCCTGGCATTCCCTGGCAGGCGCCAAGGCTGCTGTGGCGCACCAGCCAAGCCACATGCCTGGGGTGAAGGGCAAGGCCCCGCTTGCTTCGTGGGAACTGCCTGGGGGCAGGCGATCCCCCAGTGGGTGCCTTTCCCAACTGGTTCAGTCTCATGCTTCCTCTACCTCTTGCACTGCCCTGGGGCTTGCTGTGTCTTGCTCCCTGTGAGGTGGCTGGGGAGTGGGGGGGCTGTTGGGGAGCTCCTTGTGCCCCACAGGGCAGGTAGCAGACAGGATGGGAGCTGCACGGGGTAGCACGTAGGGTCGGGTGCTCCCACGGAGAGCTCAACCTCTTGTGCTGCTGCAGCAAAAGGCATTTCGTGGGGGGTGGTAGTGCTTATCACCATGTTTCACGTGCAGGCTGTGTCACAGTGTGCTCCTGCTGCACCTCCCAGGGTGGTTCCTGCTGGGAATGGGGGCAGCGCTGCCAGCCCCAGCCCTGGGGCCCTGGGCAGCAATACCAGACCCTGGCAGCACTCAGGTGTGAGCTGGAGTGGAGATGTTTGGACTGGAGCAGCTCTGGACATAAGCTTGAGAGCGGGTTAACAGCTGACTATGGAGGCTGAGAGCTGAACCAGGAGGCAGCAGGCAAGTTCAGGCACCTCCAGGGCTCAGCAGCAGCTGAACCAGAGTATGGAGCTCCCAGATTGCAGTTTTCAACCAAGGTGCCCAAACTCTGCCGAAATCTTGCTTAAGCTGCCTATGGTATTTGCAGGTTTTGTTTTTATTTTAATGGTGGCAGCCTTTAATCTCTGTGGCTCGCATTCTCCTTGTGTAAGATGGGGTTACTTATGCTCAACCCTGTTTTGCAAAGAGTGCTGCTATCTCTGGGTGAATGTTCCTGTAGACAACCACAATATTTAACATATAGCATCGCTCTGTGGCTCTGCCTAATTCTCGTATTGGTTTCCAAGCTTCTTAATGCCTGTACCTTGGGTCTGAGATGATTGTCAGTTTTTGGAAGAGGCGTTTGCCCAGGAGTAAATCTCCACAAAGGGCTGGGGAAAGAGGATGGCCGTAAGCCCTCATCAACCTTAATTAGTATGGCACAAACAGGGTAGGGGCTGCACACATCCCTTCACCTTGAGCATCCAGCACTGCACAGGACCCATTGCTCGGCACTGTGCGCAGAACTGGCATTGAAGTATTAGTTATAGTCGCACATGGCAATCCTGTGTTTGCTGATTTTCTTCTGGGTGTCTGAATAGAAGTGCTTTAATCCTTTCAGTTCTTGGTATGAAAAGCTGTTCGCAACCTCTGTCTGTCCCGCGTTGGTGATGAGTATAATGGTCCGATCCCACTCTCCTGACTGCCCATATCGGAAGCTCTCTTGGGCCTGTTGCAGCTCTCCTCCAGCCCCAGCTTCAGCTCCCAGTTTCAGTCCTAGAGTGTTTTATTTTGTTTGCCGGACATTTCCTCTGGTACTCATGTTGTCATTCACTGGGACTAGTACTGCCCCATTTCTTCTCCAGAGTAATGCAAAGCAAACCAGCCTCCCAGGCAGGGCTCAATGCCCACATGGGCATCCAGCCTGCACCATCAAGAGGCTGCTCAAAACCTTTCAGGACTGACCTCCATGCCATGAAAATATGGAGCCATGTTCTTGGGCTGATGTAAACTGATGTAGCTCCATTGATGTTGATCCAGCTTATAGAAGCTGAAAATACGGCTTAGAGTAAATGAATCATTCTGCTGAAATGTAGCCAGCTCTGAAGCATACCTGTCCTATGGAGATGCTGAGAAGTTGCTTCCATCCTTTTTGGCTGATAATCCACAAACAAGCCACAAATCTGGCATGGAAGAAAGGCTGTAGTGTAATGCATGAGTCACTTTACCCACTATAAATTGTCATCAGTTCTGGAGAGAGGTGCAGCAGCTGTTTAGCAGAGTGTAGCCCAGGTGGAAGAGATGGTCTTGTTATTTATGCAGCTCCATAAATGAACTCACTGCTTTGCAAAATAATAGCCCTTCCTTGAGCAGTTTCCAATGCAACTTGCTCCAGAGCAAAGCGGGACTGGGCTGCTGTGAGCCTGATGATGTTGCAAGGAAAGTCCCAGCTGCTCCAAAGGCCATACAAGCCCTGCAAGAAAGACAGTGTGGTGTCACCAGTGGGGCCACAACTGCATGGCAGTGCATCAGAAAGGAGACAGGTAAGTGCAAGGTAGGGGGAAGAAGTTACCCTCAATGTAGCTCTTTTGCTTTCTTGCAGGAGAGGTGAGCAAAATAATTGCTCCGTCTTGCAGCTGCAGATGTGAGGCATGGAGGTTAAAGGCCAGATCTGAAACAGACTTAGGCCTACGCAAAACAAGATGCCCCAAGACAGGTTTCCTCACAGGGGCCAGAGCCAGCATGGCTGAACAGTTCTCCCAGAGGGACCTGCTTTGCTGCAGGAAGATGCTGCCCAGGACAGTAACAAATCTGTTACTAGAGCTAAGGTAACATTTTTCAGATTCCCCTGGATTCAAGGGTTTGTGACATCTGGTCACCTCCATCTTTTGTCTTTCTTTTTTTTTTCTCTTTTGAAATTCCCTCTTTTCTCAGGGGGAGCCCAACTTGCAGGTACCAGGAGGCTTTTCTCATGGTTAGGAGTAGGGCTGCAGGACCATGAGCTCTGACTCCACACCAAAAGGGAGAAGGAAGTAGAGCAAGAGGGAGGCAGGCTACTAGATGCTGTGAACCTGGGCTTTCCCCAGGGTTGTTCATGTATGTGATCACAGGTTTTTTCCAATGTGAAATGCATCAGCAGCCATGTTAGGTGACGGGGCAGGAGCAAGCATTGCCAATGCTACAAAGCTGCGCCCTGGAAAGAGCTGCCATGATCTGAAAGTGGAGTTTATTAACTCCAGATTTTCACAGTGTAGCTGGCACACCAACAATATGGTCCAAACACAAAGAGTCACTTGCAGATATAAATCAGGGGAAGGCATCTCCAAAGGCTCCTGCTAGCCTGAGTCATGCACAGCCACTGTGCCAAGTGCCAGCTGCTGAACGGCAGCAGGCCTGCAGCTGGGTCACAGGCACCAAGCCCGGGGGCAACACTGATTGCCTGATTAGCAAAACCACTAAGAATGGCAGCTGCTTCACTGACTACAGAGCACAGGTGTCTTAAACAGTGGGCTTGTCCCTTACTTATAGGCCAAGGGAGCTTGGGCTAGCTGGTCAGTTAATAGGGGAAAAGGAGAAGGTGAGTTATAGGTCTTGTGGTGGCTTAGCTGAGGAGAGGCCTTAGGGAATAGCTAAGGGATTTACCACTGGCAAAGGAATTAGGGCAATAGCTATCACTGTCCCAGCCAGCATAACCCTCTGCCTGTTTTGAGATGTTTAGAAATACCTTTACTGCCATTTTGTCTACAGGAGCAGATGGAAAGGTTACCTCCTACCGCTGCTTGATGCGGTCCCTCAGCTGGAAATAACTGTCCCTGGAGCTGAGCCAGTAGGGTGAAAATGTGTGTGCACCCTTTGTCTGCACTGGCACAGTATCAGCCTTCCTGCGGGGAAGGGTCGGAGTCTGAGCCTCCCCTCGTGTTGCTGCAGTGGGCTTGCACTCACCCTGCTGGCTAGGGGCTTAAAGCTTCTAGCTATGCTTGGAAGAGAACCCTTCATTTTGTACTATGTCCTTTAGAAAGGTTTAGGAGAGGGTTGGATACAGCAATAACAGCTGCCAGGGTGGGGAAAACAGTAAATAGGTTTGCAAGCAAGTCTCTTGCTGTGCTCCTCCTCTGTGATATGTCTTTCACCTTTTGACTCCACTGCAAATGCTGCTTGAGCTCATTAGCATGTGCCAGCTTTCTAGGAGGTAAATGTGTAATTGTGTCTTTTTTTTTTTTGAACGGGGAAAGGCCATATTTGGGGCCTGATGTTAGGTCAGAATTGGAACTGAAACTTTGAAAACAAAGCTTTTTCCCCCAGAAATGGTGCTGTAAGCTAGTTCCTCAGCCTTGTGCTCAGGTAAGGGCTCTAAGACTGTTGAGCACTGAAAAAATTTGCTTGCTGCTGCTAAATACAGTAGGACTCAGGTGAATGGTTTTTGCTGTTCAATTCTGTCCTGAACTTGCTACTTTTCATGTCCTTTTTAATAACTGATTATCTTGAACTTTCCCATTTTGCTTGGAGTATAAACTTTTCGTGGGGGCACTTGCCTGTTTGCCCCCACCCTGTAGATCGTGGTGTTAATCTTTGATTGGGACCTTGTTGGTATTTCTGCAGAGTAAATAGTGTTATCAAATATATTCAGAACTTAAAATTCAGGTGAGAGCAGCTTGTGTGGGTGCAGGGATGTGCATAGCAGAGAGAGGCAGAATAAAAGTTCAGTTATTTTTATTTTATTTTGTGTTGCGGGACAAATATTCCAAAAAATGAAGGCTTTTCCACATATTTTCTATAACCAGCCAAATAAAATATTATGTTTTAAAGCATTCAGGGTCAGAGAAATAACTCAGGCTCTGGGCTTAGCATTTTTTCTTCCTCACAATAGCTTCTGCTGAATGATAATTTTTAAAACTATGCATGTGGGGGGCCAGATCCTGACCTCCATTGCATCTGCTCTGCACTGCTGCAAAAAATGCAGAGCAGGCAGAAAGTTAGCTTAGCTGGATTGCTGGAGATTACCCTGACCCAGTTTGTCAGCTGTGGTGCAGGAGACTGGGCACTGTGACCAGAGTATGGGAAAAGGAAGAGAATTTGTTGTGATACCTATTTTGGGTACATGTTGGGTGGGGTGTATATCCCCCTGTTAGCACCTCAAGGGTGAAGCGGTCCCTAGCTACTCTCGCAACAGGGCTCTGGCACTTGGCAGCAGCCAGAGCTATAGCTTTGACTGTTTTTTCTGGATATACGTGTCATTGCCCTATGAGAAATGCATGTGTTACACGAAGCACAGCTTTTACAGCTTTCTCATGTGGGTGTTTCTTGATGCAAGCTTCAGAGAGTGTTTCGTTGCTAGATAGCAATCTAGAGCAAGCACAGCAGCTGGGGGTAATCCTGCTGCAGTCTTCCCGGTGATCGAGTCTGGGTACAACCACACACATTTCTGTCATGAAGCGATCTCCTGTAAATGTTTCCTGGAGCACGTTTTCCTTTCAGCAGCAAGCATGGGCATTTGCTGTATTGGAGGGCCACCCTGATGTCTAACTCAGTACTGGTTGCTACAAGCAGTGGAAACTTTTTCTGCATTTTAACAGAGAAAATCAAAGTGGAGTGGGCTGGAGCTATTCATAGAGCATGCTGTCTTTGAGTAACCCAGCCTTTTCCTTCAAAGACTCTGAATAGATTGGTTTATATGGCTTTTTTTCACTGTTTAAAATTGATATCTTGTTTTAACAATAATTCAGTCTTGGCTAGTTTATTTAAAAAAAAAAAGTCTGCATTGAGTTTACCCATGATTATCCACCTCTGGAATTCAAGTTTTGCCTATTCTCCATTTTCTCACAAATTGACAGTACTCTGAGCTTTCCTCAGAGGCATGGATTCTGAAACAGAGAATAAGGAGGAAATTTCAGTTTTCATTACAATGTAATATTGAAAAGCATAATCTTTTCTTTTGTAATGATGGAGAAAAGATTGAAAACGAGAGCTGAATGTACTCCACAGGCTGAGGAACCAGAAAATAATGAATAAAGAACCCCAAATTAATTGAGATTTTTTTTGTTTGCTTGGGTTTTTCTGTTTTTAAACTAGCAGTGGGATTTGAGAGGCCTCATTGGCACATTTATCCTTAGCAATGGGCAATGCTGTGATCCTACTGAATACTGCAGGACAGCTGCTCCAAATTGCTCTGCATTTTCCCTGATCATTAGTCCTTCAACCTGCCGAAGGTCCTTCCTTCTCTTTCTACCCTGATCCAGATTCTCTTTGATTTCATTTACTGAAGCCTGGAGAGCTCATCTGTGTAGGGAAGCTCCCTTTGAGTTTGCTTCTGTTACTTGTGTTTGTGTGACCCAGACGAGCCTGCAGCTTGCAGGATAGGTGCCTGATGACTGTGCCTTTCACAGGCATTTCCCATAAGATAGGTGTCCACCCTGTCTGCTCCTGGAGTGGATTGCTGCAGGACATGAATAGATTTCCTTGATGTGCTCATCCAAAACTGGGTGATAAATGGCCATGCTCGGTAAAATACCAGCCTCTTTTGAGGACTGCTGGTGGTGGTGAACCTCCTTGCCCTGCTGGCTGGACTTCCTGGCAGTTTGTGCTTGGTGCTGCTGCCTGATTGCCCACCTGACTCACTCCAAGGGAGCGAGCCTCAGGTTCCCCTTTGGCACTGGAGATCCTCAGGGCTGCAGGAGGCTGCCTGACCCCATGGCCAGAAGCAGCTATGGCCATAGGAGGCTAGTATGATTTCAGAGTGTTGGTGTCTGCAGGCTCCCTTTTCGGTATGTGTCCTGTTTTAACTTTATGACCTGGCAGTGCTGGCTCTCCTCGGCTTTTTGAGTAGCCAGCCCTGTGTGGTCCTGGTGTTTCCTGGTAGGCTTTCCAAGGTGGCAGCTGGGGAGAAGTGCTGTGGCTGAAATTACTTTCTTCCCTTGTCATCCTGCAGAGAGGGGCAGCCTGCCCTGAGGAGCACCCTATCTTGCCATGGGCTGAGCCTGTGACCTGCCTGCACATGTTGTGATACCTCTTCCCCTGGGGCTACTCTGCGTGCCAGGTGGCTGTGAACCACACTGCAGGTGCCAAGCATCTCTACAGGTGGAGAAAAATCCCAGGGAAGGAGGGTAAAAGCACAGGTACTTTCTTGCTGCACCTTAAGACCTTTTTGCCAGGACTTTGCTGTTTTGCTGCTAGTAAAGAGAATTGTATTTTTTCTGTCTCCTCCCAGATTTCTGCAAGAATGCATGCTGTTCCCTACCCATTTCATGCATCCTGCTGTGCAGCCCAATCAAAGCCCCACTTAGGAGGAACAGTGCTAATCCTGGATCTCTTGTTCCCATCAGCATGCATCAACCAGTCAGGCTGCTGATGATGTGGGGAGGCACAGCTCTACTTTCTTTGCTCCTGAGTACTTTCTGCTGCTGGCTTTGCTTGTCTACTTGCTGTTTATAGTAAGGACTCATTAGAGATGTAAACTCATTAATCACACCCAAGCCACACTTCCCTGGTTCCACTTATAGTGTCTTCCCTCTCTCTTCCTTTTCACAGCTCCCACCTTAGTCAGTACTCAGTTCTTGGCATCTGGGCTTTGTTTTTATTTAAGCTTGGAACTGATAAAGCATGAGAAAAGGGGAAAATTCAGAAAGGCAGACCAATATAATAAGCAAAGTGTATGTAGGGTACATTTAATATTAGACTACTTGGCCTAAAGTGTATGGGCAGAAGACTAGCAGCAAAGCTATTGCATTAATTGAAATAGAGACCATTTACCCTAAAAAGTTAAAAGGCACAGGACAGACAAACAGGAGCCCTTTCATCCTCTTGGGACTTCTTGTGTCCTGCCAGCAGCTGAGATTGCTTTCCTGCCCTTAGCACTGGTCAGTCCAGTGCTGATCCTTGGCCACCAGCCTGGCTGGGAGTCCCGTGGGCAGCCCACAAGAGGAGGGGAAGCCACATGAAATCTAAAAGTCTCTGCAGAGATATTTAGGTGCCTGAAGGTGCAGAGAGGCACTTAGTAGCCTTTCGGAAATTCCTCAGGAGGTTGGAGGGAGAGAGGAGGAAAATTCCCATCTTGGGGATTGAGTTTGAAGAGCCTGACCCACCTCGAGGCCTTGGAAAACCCCACCAGGCACCTCTCTTCATGTCTAGACTCTTAAATATCTTGGAAAATCTGCTCCAAAGTGGTTATTACTTCTTTTGAGCAGTTTTTGCCCGCCCAAGGCTGGGAACAGAGTCTCAGCAGAATCCCTTCTTGCTGTGTGAAGCTGCTGCCATACCACTACAGCGTGAGTGATGTACGGATCCCAGGGAAGACATTACTCCAGCAGCATGTTTCTAGCTGACATTGATTTGCAATAGGGCTGTCAACAGCAGCTGGAGACCCCTGATCCTGGAAAACAATGTGTCAGTTGCCTGGGTTGGTTTTAATTCTTTAATCCTTTGTCTGCAACCTAACATGTTGCAGCATTGCTTAGAGATGAGATGTGCCACTGCTGCTGCTTTACTCTTGCTGTTTTGGAGCATGGCGTCTGTCTGGCCAGGTCCAGGAAGAGCTGGGAAGATGGACTGGCTTGCAGTACTGTCTGAAAGCTGCACAGACCTGTAAGTCACTTGCATTTATATAATTTTGTCTGTCTCTTTCGACATCTGAATTTTAAACATCCGTTATAAGGCAATACTGCTTTTAGTGGCGAGCCAAATTTTTCTTCTAAAACACATGTTCCCTAAAGCCTTAGTACTTTATTTCCTTTGTTCTGATTTATTGCTGTTGTCTTACCACATGTGCTAGGCACAGAGGAGAAAAACTACCAAAACCAAAAGAAGAGCCTTCTCTACCCCCTTCCCAGACCCATACATCAGGATTAACACACTAAATCTATTATTTCAAGTGTTTCAACAATGAACTAACTTACCTCTAATTTCTTAGCTGCCTCCAAGTAGATATGCTGATGAAGAGTGAGTGTAGGTTAATAATGTGAAGATTATGGTAAACCCAATGAAAGCTACTGTGAGGAACTGAAAATTGAAAGACACTATATCTGGAGAATGATAGTGAGATTAAAAAATAAAAATTGTTGATTGCATTTTCTAAATAGGGATTTTGTGGATATCAATTTTTATGTGCCTTTTATCAATACCTAAAATGGCCTTATTTGTAAAAGGATGAACTTTCCTCCACAAAATAAAGGCCACTTTTTGATATCTCAGGGTAAGCATCAAGCAGCTGAGGCATGCAATTACTGGTCACTTGGAAAAAAAAAAAAAGAAATTGGCTGTTACTGTGAGGTTTGTAGAGCTCTTTGACATAGAAAAGTTCTGTCAAAGTTTGCTTTCTTGGAGACTATTCAGCCTACAATAGCAGAAAGCTAAATTATTTTCATTGATAGTTATACTAAAGTTAGTGCCATGTTTTCCCCCTCAAATGTGAAGTGATAGTGCAGAGGTTGAGCTGTGGCCATGAGTCAGATGGACCTCAGCAGAGAAAAACTGATTTGATGCTATAGGGTGTCTATGGCACCCACCTCCTGTACCCTCAGACGCACCTAGGAAATACCTGAGTCCATACTCATAGCTGGTTTTGTTTTAATTCTTCAAAAACTTACCTGTTCATAGTGGAGTTTGTAACTCATTGAACATGTATTGGATGTCTGGTGTCTTGGCCTTGTCCTTAGCAGGAGGAGGTCTCTCTCCATCACCTCTATGACTACGGTGGAAATCATGACAGACTTGCTACGTTATCTGTGAGGGTTTCCAAGATGTAGTTTGTGTAAAATCCCCACTGGCCACTCTCATGACTGTGCTTAGCTATGTGCACCAAGAGTAGAGCTGCTGGCTGGTTCAGGCAGTGCCCATGTGCCACGTCAAAGTGGCTGCTACCAGCATTGCACAGGATTTGGGGGTTTTGTGAGTTGCTGGTTGCCACTGAGTTCAAAGACATTAGGATGAAGCCTCTCTTTGTAGACAGACCATTTGTGTTCCCGGTGGCAGTGCTAGCAGGATGCTGGGATACACTTTCCTCTGATATCACCATAGGCTTTAGAAAAAGTAAAGTGGTGAAACACATTGTGTCCCAATGCTCTGTGAACATAAAGGTCAAATAAAGCTAAGCGATCATGAGGGAAGGGATGTCCTGGCAGAGGGGAACGCTCTTAATACTTGCCTTCTTAAGGCTTTCCTCCTTTCCGTAAACCAACTCGACAGCAGCTTGTGCTCTGCTGGGTATACTCACATCATTGTTTGAACTGATGTATCATGGGCTGCTTTTCTTTACTTGTGTTCTCCCTTTGAGGCAGGCTATTGATGTGAAGCTCGTTGTCATATTCAGGCCTGTTAACTGTGTTATTTAACAAAGCAGAGCATTCAAAAGCCTGCTCAGAGGCATGTTTGTCTTTTTCTTTTTTTTCTCCTTTTTAAATGGAAACCAGCTTTCCTAGCAAAATGTTTTACGGAATCTGCTCCCTTGAAACCAGTATGAGGCAACAGCAGTGATTGCAGCTAGTTGCAACATCTCATCTTGCTAGATGGAGGCACATCATGTTACAAGTGGTGCTTCTAGCAAAACCTCTGTGAAGGAAACCTACTGACACCTGTCTAGCTGGGGGTTGTTAACTCATCTGAGGTGAGCTAAAGACCCAATTTCACTTGGGTTTCTTTGAAGAACAAGCTGTACATACTCAAGCCAAGTTCAAGGAACTGAAGCTTCAGTAAACCTAGACCTGAATTTGAGAGAATTTGGGCCAATAAGTTGGTATTAGTGAAAACTAACTCAAACTTGGACCCCAAACCAGCAAAGTTTTCTGATTTTTAACATCTCTTGAGGATTCAGTTAAGCCAGGAAGTCAGAGGCGGTGATAAGACAGAAACTTGGTGCTGGTGCATAAGTCTTGCCTAAATCCTAAAGGCAAGATCAAATCCTGATATAAAATGGTCAGACCACTGCTTTGATGAAACTCAGAGCACAAATACTGTAAAATACATATCATTGAGCATCTTTATAACCGTAATAATCAAATAATTTTAGACTGTTTTCAGGTCCAACCAAACAATGCTTAAAGCAGTGTACTTGGTACCGAAGTCCAGTAAATTATTTGTATTAGTGTGGCTTGTGAGGTTCTTGGAAGCTTTCTCAAAGGGCAAACTCTGTTTGGGTTGGCGGGGCGGGGCGGGGGGGGGGGAGGAAAACCAGGCTTGCCTGGTTGAAAACTGCTTGTGAGAAGATCTTTTTCAGAAAGACTTAAGAGTATTGGGCCCTTTTTTTGTTTTCTTAGGAAACAGAAAATTAATTTCAGCTCTGCAGTTAACTTGATTTAAGTGACTTGCTTTCTATGATCACTTTTGGGTTCCGGAATGCTACAGAAATTATCTGAGGGCATTTTCAACACTTCAAAATTAAAATCAAATTGTTGAAATTGTGCCAGCATTTAAATGAAAATTATTTTCTTTAAACAAACACTTGAGGACTTTCAATATTTTTTTAATCACAAGAGCATTCTTAACCCAAGCACCTTTTCTTTGTGGTTTTTCAAGTATCCAGTCTGCACTGCTAAAACCAGATGTGTCTTAGGATGTAATCAAATTCAAGATCTTTTTAGCCAAAAACTAGATGAGCAGGGAGTGCTAGTTTTTCACACAGCACAAAGACATAAGTGGGTGTTACTGCAAATACGATCTCTGCCTCTGTGCCCATAGAAGTGTCTGGGCAGCAATACCAGTACAGACTTCTGCTGCATGGAGAGGCGTCAGGCGTGGGGCTGGGCATCTGGGGCCTGTGCAACTCATGGCAGTGAGCAGGGAATAACGGAGGCAGGAGCTGGCTGTAAAATTTGCTGCTGTGCAGATGCTCTGATATTCAGCTTTCCACACAGTGGAGAGGAGAGACCACAGAAGCTGCTGCAGATTAATGAGGGAGGATTAGCACAGCCCTTACATCTTGGGGGCGGGGGGTGGGGTGGGTGGTAAGTTTATACATGGCTCAGGAGATGTTGCATGTAGCCAGAGAGTGAGTCTGGGTACCAGGAGCAGCACCTAGTCTGGAGCTCTGAAGCACTGGAGCTTCTACATGGAGCTCTTCAAACGCTCAGGATGTGGGTGGCTCTTGCTCTTTTCCCATGCAATGGGGTGTAGCTGGCTCTGAGGTGTTTCATGGACTCTAAAGCTTCTCAGGCACAGGTTGGTCTTGAGCTGCAAATCAAAACAGCCAGAAGCTGCCCTGTATCCTGTTGTAGACACCTGGAAATCCAGGGACTAGCATTTCTGTCCAAGTCCACCTAGGCCAGCATCTCATCCCTGACAAAGGCCAGCAGCAGCCACCTAGAAGAAGAGTTTGAGAACAGGACACGTGTGTGACAAGATCATTCCCTCATGCTCTCAGCTAGCTCTGGGATTTTTAGAAGCAAAGGATTTCCATGGGGCTCTGTGACCCTGTTCTCTAAAGAAAACCCCAGGCCAAGTTCCACATCTAGGCTCTGAGTGCCAACCCTGCTGCCTAAGGGCTAAGGTTTCTAGCAGTGACATGTGAAAGCTTGTCCCTCAGTGCAGTGGCTCCTCTTGGAGAATGATTGCTGTCCCTTGGTGAGCTTTCAGCCCTGCTAGAATAAGGCCTTGCTTTAGCCCCAGGCAGGTGTTTGGTTACAATTACTGGGTGGTAGTTGGCTGTGGGAATGGGAAATTAAGTTGATGTCTATAAAAGCAGTGGTTAAGGGTTTTTGTTGTCATTTCATAGGTTGAGTTGGGAGAAGAAGGAAGACACCTTCAGGTCAAGGAAGCTAGCCTGGCGGATGCCAGCTGAGGATGTGGTCCATTATTATTGCCTCTTTGATAGCCCAGGAGGACTGAACGGGTGTTTCTCCTTTGCAGACCAGAAGTAGGACTGCTTGAGGAATATGTACCCTCTGGACAGGACCCTGTCCTGTCTGTGTGTATTAAATGAAGGAGCCTGAAAACAGTTCCCTTCAGCAACACAAATTACTTGCTGTTATCAACTAACTGCAGACCTTGTGTGTTGGCCAAAAAAAAAAAAAAGTCCTTCCTAATCACCCCAGTGACACATGTTTCTCAATCAGCTGCAGGTGAGGGAGCTAATACTGTATGTGTGCTTTCAGAAATAGTGTGGAGCAGACAGCATCCCCTGTGGGAACCGGGATAATTTTTTATCTTTTGGGTGCTATTGGTTACACTTGCTTTGTCAACAAATGCTTTTAACAAGTGCTGTCATTCCTTTGCTGTGGAGGATGTGTAAGTACAAGTGACCATGTAGCACATGTGATCCCAAGACTTTGATGTGTTTCTCCAATATATTGGATTTTCTGGTATTCACTTTGAGATTAACCACATTACAGAAGCCTGCCTGCAAGATATATTTCCTATAAAAATTGTTCTGATATCCCTAACTTTACTAGCCTTTTCCTGCAGCAATAAGTAAACTCTTTAAAGAGCTAGTTGCAAGGGAAACGTTAAAAGTCTTAAGAGACTTCTCCTGATGTGTAACCTTAAAAGTTACAACACTGTGATCTAGAGAAGCTACAAACAAAAAAGAGCTGCATAAAACCTTTTTAGCCCTACGGACATGGCAGTTCTTCAGACCACAACTCCAGAATACTCTTCTCCAATACATATTGCCACTTATTGTGAAGGTAATGCTGTTACCCTCAGCTGGCTTCTGCTTAACTATTCAGGCCTGGCTGGGGCTGGAACTGCAGAGATGTGAGTGGAGATAGAATCTCCCAGAGGCTTATGTTGGCCAGGAAAATGCTGGCTTGGAAAAGGATGTGGAGCATGTCCAAATAAGAAGAGTCTGGAAGGAGTTTGTGATGGTCTGTTATTTCATTATTAGCTAGGAGATGTGAAATTTCCTTTTCCAGATGAACACATTTAATGTTTTGCATAAGACAGCAATTGCTTCTTGTAAGACTTAGCATTTTGCTAATTTGATGAGTTAGTCTTACAAATTAAGTGCATCAGTCACTGGAAAGGCCTTTTTCAAGTTCCACAAGCATGTTTTATACCTCTTGATAAAGTCAGTAGCATGCTGGACTTTCACAAGCAGAAAGACCTCCAAAAGTATGCAAGTTATTTCTGGCACGTTGTATTCTCAACATGTCAAGGAAACATGGATTATTTTTACACAAAGAGGCAAATCAAAATGGTTCCTTAGCAAGCTCCCATGAACATTAGAAAACCAAAAGAAGAACCATTGCTTCTGAATTAAGTTTCTTAGATGGATCATGTTGTCACAGGTTCAGAAGTTCATTTGCACCAGTTTGGACCTCCGATGAATGATGGAAGGAGTGAAGGATAAAACAGAAGGAAAAAACAAAGACCAGGAATTAATTTGGGTATTTGATCTTTGAGTGGACTTTTTTTTCCCTTACTGTGAATTTATCATCAAATGTAGAGCATGACAAACTGCAGACACTTTTGGAAGTTCTTTTTAATAGCTGTTAATTGAAAGGTGATGTGTAGGTGTTGAGAGGAAAAGGATCTCTCGAGCTGAACAGGCCTGTGTGGAAAGCACGTGCCAACAACTTGCTGAAAAGCACAAAGCAGTACAGCAGCAAGATTACTGGAGTGTCCTAAACTCTCTTGACAGGGCAGCACACAAATTAGGCTATACACTTTGCAAATATTGGAGTCTGTTTTGAAACTCCCTATTAAGGATTACAAGTGCTGACTGCAGTTTCTAGGCAAAGGCAATTAGATATCACAGCTATGGCCTCAGCTCAGTGTTTTATGTCTGAGCTCGTATTACTGTGTAGGGTTCTTATGCATTAGATTACCTCAGCCAAAACCAAGTTATGACACCCACCAAAGCTGAGTCCTGTGATTAAGGTTAAAAAAAAGTACAGCCTTGTCTCAGCATTTTTTTCCATTTCAGTGTAGAAAAGTATTTTCCCACACAGTGAAGGGGCTTTTTAACAGAAAAGAGGTGTAAAGCATGCATAAACATTGATACTTAACATGCATCTTCATCCATAGTTGCTTCTCTGGATAGTGTTTTTACTGGTTCAATACCCATGTCCAAATTCAGGAATAGCACTTGTTGCTTGGGCATGGTGGAGACACAGCCACCTATGTCAAGGTTCATTTTGACCCAGCTAGTGTCATTAATGCTTACACAGATGAATGTCAATAATTATCAATAATTACGCCTTTACTCAGTGTGAGGGTAGTTCTTTTGCAAATACTTTATCCCAGGAAAAATGAAAGGGAAGAGGGCATTTTTGTGCAGTCAAAACCTCCAGCAACAGAATGCTCTTCCAGGTATGTTGATGGCTAGTGCAACACAGAGACAGGGCTGCTGTGTGATGTACATTGTATCTACATGAAATGAAAGTTCATGCTGCCTTCTCTTTTTTTCCTTTTTTTAAACCTTGCACTTAAAATTTGCCCTCTCTTCTCTGACAAGCCTCAAGAAGAAGCTTTGAATGTGGTGCCAGCACAACAGCAGACAGAGTGAGAAACTGAGACAAGTACCTCTGATACAATTAACAGGTGATACTGTTATTTCCTATTTTTCATCTGAATCTCTACTCCTGAGAATTTGAGCTAAATCCTAAGTTTTCTTTTTTTTTTCTTTTTTTTTTTTTAAACAGAACATCCAGCAAGTTAAACCTCAGCATCACGAGGAGGTCCCAAGATGGGGTTTGCTCCAGCTTTCCTGCTGAGCAACCATTTACGAACTGCTGCTAAAAAATGTCAGAGAAGATGGTAGTTGCAGTGCTGTCACATGGGCTGATACAGCACAGAACCTGCTTAGCATTCTTGAAGGGAAATTATCCAGTGCTGCAACTCACAATTTATAATTGGTTGCATATTAATGTCCAAAAAAGGCAACAAAATCTACTGGGTGTTTAGAAAAAAAAGTAAGTAGGAGTATTACAAGCTGAGCAGTGAAAATCTGGAAGACTCTTTGGCTAGAGCAGACCTGTGTGCAGTGCTCTTTCTCCCTTAATTACAAGCAATTTTAAATCATCTCCTTCCTTCAAAGAAGGATTTTGTTCAGTGTTTGTGTTAATTTTAATCTCACTAACATGATACTCTCTTGGAACCTCTCCCTCATGTCGTAACAGCAAGACATGCTGCCTCTTTTGTCCCTGCTGTTTGGGAAATGCACAGCTACTGCTGCTTGTCACTGCAGCCCTGGGGTTGTTACTATCAATATATCTCCCTTTAAAGGAAAAGAAAACAGAACAAAACCCAACAGCAGCATTTTTTTCCCCAGAGTTCACTTTTATTTGTAGTATTTAAGCTAGACTGTGCAAGTGCTTCATGAAAATCAGGGGTTTAAAATGTATAGTGCTGTATTGTAGTGGGAAGCATGTTATTCAGCATGCTAATTATTTCTTAGTCACTGTATTTATGAAATGTCTTGTAATAACTACCTCACCACAACGCAAAGTAAATAGTGCAAAATCAGGCGTTTTATGATTTTGACATTTTAGTGTATAAGTGTATTCCTGAGTCTCTCGGGGGAGCTACTGGGAATTAGATAATGTTTTTATGACTCTAAAAAATGACATCAAATTTCATAATCTCTAAGACTCCATATATATAGTCCATGTTGTGCATTTTATTACAGCCTCAGTGGCTTATATGGCAAGTGTCAGCTGTAAAGAGAAAATGCACAAAGGCTGGTTTGTGGAATAGGGGGGTACAACATGGTAAAACCTTACAGTGCACACATCAAAGCCCTTGGGACAAACTGTAATTGCACACGTGGGCCATGCTGGGACACCAGAATTCACCCTAAGCTTTTTCTGTTTCAGGATCAATTACAAAGCCCTCGCTGAAGGAGGCTTTCTGGCCAGTGCTTGTTACTAGAGGATAAGTTTGGGTTTTTGTCAATTCCTGTGTGAATGACCCATTAAATCCAGAGTAACTGGGAGGCCTTGAGTGTCTATGAGTGACAAACCAGGAGTGAGTACAGAGGGGAAGAAGAACGGGTTGCTGCTCCAAGTGGGCTTCTGAGTAGTCCCACGTGGTCTCTGAGAACAATGGGTGGATGCTTACCAGAATATGTGATTTCATAAATTATTGTGCATAAAACCAGGCCTTTTGTGCTCCTTTGCAAGCTTGCTTGGTGTTAGAAAAGTCGTGGGTCATGTGCTTGAATGCTGGGACAAGTCTCTTGGCATAGTTACCAGCACCTTTCTAGAAAAGGGCAAGTGGTGATGAAACAGCCACAGGTTCAGAAAACCTCAAATTGTCACTGAAATTAAGAGCAAGCCATGGTCTCTCTTGGGTGACAGTAGGTATCCAGCAGTCAGGCATCTCACTGCATGATCTGGACGATAGGGTTAGTCTGTCCATTTCTGATGTGGAGCTGGTGTTAGCAGCCTCTGGAGACTTGGCAGTGTGTCAGAGCTGCCAGCCCACTCACACATGTACATGAGTACAGGATGGGGCCCTGAAACTGTGGTGGATCTGGCTGGGTCCTGCTTAATCTGAATTTACAGCTGTTGGCAGACTCAGGTGACACATCCTCTCCTTAGTGTTTTACCTGTTGGCATTAAAAAATTACAAGGAGTGTGATCTACCATACGTTTTGCTGAAAGTGGTGAGATGATTCACTCTTTCCATATTAGGATATAATTTTCTTCATTTCAGAAACAGACTCATAGTCTTCAAGCTATTTAACCATAAATCTGGTTTAATTTTTCTGTGAGCTTTTATGCTTGTTATCAGTCTCAAGGTCTTGCAGAATGGTGATTTTCCTGAACTAAAGCTCCATGGAAAGTGAAATTTTGTTAATGAAGCAAAAGTGAAATAATGATTTTTACCATTCCAGGTGCATGGCTACTCTGACTTCCTTTTCCTTTCATGTTCCAAGTGCAACAAATGTACCAACAGCTGGTACTGAGAGAGGTAGGAGGCTTTCATGCATCTTTAAGACTCCATATTGTATGTATTTTCTGACCTTTCTATAAATAAAAACAGATATTAAGAATGCCTCTGGCTGTTATATCCAAGAATAAGTGTTTGAGATACATGAGAGATGCTCAGGGAATTGGTAAGTCTTCAGGAGAAAAAAAATGTCCTGGGATCAATTTCCTGATTCAGTAGTGAAGTCCTCATATTATATAAAATGTAATGTGATTGTCCATGGCTCTAATAAAATCTTGATTTTTCCACCAGGCTTTCATCTATAAAAATCAAATTTATCCAGCATTAGTCTGCATTTCGAAAGGGATAGGGGTTTTTTTGAAATAGATATGATAGTAATCCTTTATGATACATTAATATAGGAGAACAATAATCTGTTGCATTTTCTTCACACAGAAACAATCAGCTGGGAGATGTGCCTAATAATTGTCTTTGTCCTTTATTGTCACAGGCCATTAGCTAATGAATTTAAGCTGTACTTGGCTCTTGCTCCAATAAGAAAACTACATTAGAGATCTTGTAGCCTTGGCATTATATAAAACTTTTCAGTGGGTTTTATTTTAGTCTCACTGAGGTGATGCTGCCATAGACTGAGGAATGCATCATGATTTTTGTGGTAAGCAATGAGGACGACATTGCCTGATGTAGTGGGTCAAGCAAGCTGAAGTGCATCTACAATTATTAAAGCTGCCAGATGCCAGACCCTCTTTGTTTGGTTCCTTATAATTTAGCCAAACTTTTCAGGCCTACTTTTGTGACTGTTTCAGGTTCATCTTTTGGGTGGGAAGATCTGCTAAACTTGGTTCAGCTATTCTAAGATTCATGCTGGGGAAAATAAGTAGTTTGGGCAATGCTTTAAATAAGCAATAGGAGCACGTAACTGTAAGTTGAGCAGTTTTACCACCTTTTCAGTTTGCCCTCTCAACTAGAAGGCTGGCAAAAGAAAATCCTGTGATGGAAGAAGAGCTCTTCACTGTCCTGAGAAAATCCACTCACATTCTGACTATTTGTAGGAAAAGATCGTATGCAAATGCATGGCAGCATTTGTTTAGCAATTGTTCCTCCCCCAACAAAATTATTTTAGCCTACTGCAAAGGGAACTGCATTAGAAGTTACAAAACCTAGAGTACAAGTCTTCTTTCCTATTGACAGTTTGTAGCATATCTTGGTCCATCACAAAGTGCCTCAGTATTTTAATCCTACTTTTAAAGGTGGGTAAGCATTGTTATCCTCTTGCTGCAGAGAGAACTAAGAGGCTGCATAAGCTAACCTTTGGCAGAGCTGGGAATAGATGCCACTTTGAGACCTTTAATCAAGCTGCTTCTCTAAATGTGTCATTAGTGTGCTTGGCTGGGACCCTACTGCTCCTCCCACAGATCAGAAGGACACGACATGGGACGCCTCTTCCTGCAGCTCCGTTTTCCCTCAGCTGTCCTAGGCCAGCTCTTAGGAGCTGTTGCTGCTGCATTGGGCACCCACATCTGCAGGCCACCAGGCATTGCAGAGCAGAGCTTCTGAGCCGCAGCACAGAGAAGCAGCAGGATTGCTCTGCGGGGTGCCAGCTGCTCCAGACTCAAAAGAGGCACTCCTGCTGCCGAGCCATACTGGACTACACCAGTCCCCCAGCTATGCTGTCCTTTTCTCCATCTGTGTCACAGCTGGGAAATGACACACCATTCCTACTGCTTCATGGGTTTTGCCTACTCCCAGGAAAGACACAATCCACAAGTTCAGTTGGGCTGCTGCCACCTTTGGGCTACCAGAATGGTGTGCAGAACAGCAGGAGCCAGAGACAAAATCCATACCACTGTCATTTGTGTTGGGCATCTTACTGGTATCAGAAAAAGGACCTGGAATTTCTAGGCATTACTTTGTATCTGAGCTTTAAGCTCATGGCTGTCTTAGATTTGGCAGAAGAATGGATGGTGACTATGTGATACACACCTGCTACCTGCAGAGACTCTCAGGAGAGCAGTTGTGATATAATTCTGCATCTGTTCAGGGATTATTGCTTCTGCATGAGCTGCAACACCACAACATTTGAGGAATGGCTGTGGCAAAACAGTGGTCAAGTTTTGTTGTGTCATGTAGAGAGAGATGGCGCCAGACATCCAGCAGCACAAGCTATTTCACCTGCAAAGTGGTGTGAGAAATTAGTTGAGACTGCCAGTCCTGTTAAGAGGCAATATTTGCTCCCTTACCTCTTTTCATCTCCATAACCCGAACCTGAGGTTTCCATGGCCTGCGGACCCCCATTTGGTTGTACTGTCTGCCTACTTGGGCAAAAGTTTAATAGGTAGTAAAGGAAACGTTCTGAATGCTATATCCAAAAATGTGATGCTTCAGTGTAAAATGAGCATTGCTTGCAGCAGAATAAGTGGCTAGAAAACTTTGGCACTCTGAGGTGTGCAGAGGGCAGGTGCCAGATAGCAGCGATCACCCATTTTTCTAAACCGGCAACACTTACAGCCCTACTGACAGAGGTTGATTCACACGAGAAGAAAATTCAATATGCATGAAAGGACTCTTGTTATTCTTCAGTGGAGAGCATAAATAAAGACTGTCAGACAAACTAATCTCTCTCTGATAGTTTTCTTTTCAACATCATTGAACTGTCATTTCTCCTGGGCTTTGCCAAAATGTTTGATGTATCTGTTGTTTCCCCAAACAGGCAGATTTTGCTAGCTTGGATGATACAGGCATTTTTGCCAGGAACAGAGAGGCTGAGATGCCTTCACCAGCATTCTGCTGTTGCTGTGTAGATCCTTTGCTGAGCTCCAGACCTCTGGTTAGAGATGAAAGGAAGGTATCTTGGTGACTGATAAAGTTGAATCTCTGAGTGTAGCCATGGAATTGTTCCCTGCACTTGCCCTGGGCTGGAAGCACATTTGCTGGTGCTTGGGGATTCTGCTTTTTCTGGAGCTAAACCCATTTATGCCCCCAGATCTTTAATTTCAAAACTAGTGATTCAAGATGGCCCTAGGCACCACTGTGTCACCTAGCTACAGTTAGAAAGTATCCCAAACTAGAGATTTCGGGTTTTTTGATTGTCCTTCTACAGAGCTGGCAAAGCATCCACTCCCAAGCACGTGTGAAGAGTCAGTAAGATTCCTAAAACTATTCAGAGAAAAAAAAATCTGAATGTACCCTTCCCAAGACTGTGGATGAAAGATACCTACATTGAGCAGCCTCCTCCTTCAGCTGGGGACTCTGCCACAGGGATACATGATCAGTAAGGCTGCATGTCCTCCACAAGCTCTTGCAGAGGAATTTAGCAAAAATAGGATTCTGAAGTGGGGCATACTGGAGGAGCCCAAACACCGCCATCATCTAGCAAAATGAGTCCTACATGCCATCTGTAGTGAGCTCTAACATTTTATTTTTCTGATTGTGCTTCAACCATACACTTCCTAAGTTATCCTGGATATCAACACCACTGGAGAACTTAGGTTATTACCTTAGGTGTTTAATGTACCTTTTTTTCCCCTTGGAAAAAGTGTTTCTGGGGTCCTCAGGGCAGCCAGTGATTCTGTACGGATCTGGAAGGGGCTGAAGAATGGTGGTCCCATTCTGTAGCTTGGGGTGGTTGGCCCTCTGTGTAAGTGAAAGCACCACATGAATTAGTCAACGTGCAGTTTTTTTTTCCTAGTGCAGGGCTGCCAACAGAATATAGTAGGCAGAGTTTTAGGCTGTAAGGAATGCTCCCCAAATTTTGTTTATAATTTGTTAGAAGTGTTTAATGATTTATCGCCAGATGGATTTCAGCCTACGCTCCTGCCAGAGCATACGCACCAGAATGCTCTTTGCCATCATACTAGGACCACCTGCAAGAGGTACCTTTTCTGTATGGTGTGATGCATATTCTTTGGAGGACCTAGTAAGCAAACTTGTAGTGCTTTATATAGATGAAGTTGAACACAGTGTTGCTGCATGCAGAATTTGGGAAGCTAACAGTCCCCATGTTTTCTGACAGTGTGACTTTAATATATACAGTTTTAAAAGTGTACAGGGAGATTAGTGATAACTTAAGGTAATACACTCAGTTAAAAATAACTTGCAACACCATTTAAATCCATGTGGGTTAATCTGGACATATCGAAGAGCAGTCTCTGAGTCTGGAATTACCTAACTTGGCTGTGATTATTTTGTTTCATTTCCAGATTATCTAGAGATATTTATCTAAATGGGTGGCTGCTGAGATTTTAAAAGTTGCAGCAGGAAACTTTGCAGTCTGTTTTACAACACAATTAATTGCTTGTCCTTTCAAAACTGATTCTTTCCACACCATCTCACACCTGCCCCAACACCACAACCAAAGTCTGCAAACACCTGTCCACTTGCATACATGAATAGGTCCATGGGGCTCATTTTCATTAGCTATAACTTTGCTAACTATAAATCTTCTGCAGGATGAAGGCCACACCGCATATACATATTCCTGCTCTGTGCTTTGAGATCCTTTTCATCAAGCACTAATGTCCTCTTGTATGTATGATGTTTGGGATTCTGGTTGTACAAGTTGTTAAATACAAATTTCTTCTTGGTCTGGTAGGAGCACCAGTTTGCATAATAGATTGTCTTATCACATCTGCAAGGTAATTGCTTTTAGACAGGCTTCCAAGAAGGCCTCAGATTTGATCTATGATGGTCTGTGCATTGCTAATGTCTGTACTCCAAGGAAGTGTACCTCTGTTACTGATGTACTGCGTGGATGACTGATGGTGTAGCTCCAAAGTTAACTAGGCGTTCTCTTTAAAGGCAACATATTATATTTGGGGAAAGAGGAATTTCCTGCATAATCTTTAGAGACAGCTGTATTACATTTTATGATTTCTCTGGCATTTATGCAGAGTTACAGAAATACAGTTAAGGCTTTAAATTTTTCCAGTTCAGTATTCTGATTGCATGTCCAGCTGCTCATTTTCTAATAAACAGGATCTCAGTAGAAAAAAATGTATGGGCTGTACACCCTTCACTCCTTGACCTTCCCACCTTTGAATCAGCAGTTTCCTTAGATGCCTCCATGAAGCATCTACAGCTGGTTAATCAGAGATTTGACATATCCAGCATCATGTAGAATGGGTGTGTGTATGGGAGCTAGGAAGCAAGTCTTCCTCTGAACTTGCTCCATCTTTTATTTTCTTAGAAAAGGGTCTTTCTGTTCTTAATCTTTGTCTGTAGAGAAAGAGTCCTGCTTTCGTACTTGTGCTGCCACACAAGTGGCATCTGAGATGCTTTTTCCAAGTCCTAGCCATAGGTTGCTCCCTGTCTTTATCTTGTCTAAAGTTTTGCCCTTTCACTTTCAGCTGTCTCCACAGAGTGTTGGTGGTAGTCTGCTAACAAGCAATTAGGTTATGAAAAAAGTATATATCAAAAAAGAAGGCCATGTTCAAAGTTGAAAAGAATGTAGAAAAGAAGAAAAAAAAAATATTACAATGAGAAAAAGTGAACAGTTCCAGAGAATCAAGGTCATTGTTTACAAAGGCCATCTTAAATTAAATTAACAGCTGTGTTATTTGGTAAGAAAACATAGAATCATAGAATCATTTAGGTTGGAAAAGACCTTAAGATCATCAAGTCCAACTATAAACCTAACACTGCCAAGTTCACCACTAAACCATGTCCTTAAGCACCACATCCACACGTCTTTTGAATCCCTCCAGGGATGGTGACTCAACCACTTCCCTGGGCAGCCTGTTCCAATGCTTGACAACCCTTTCGGTGAAGACATTTTTTCTAACATTCAATCTAAACCTCCCATGGAGCAACTTGAGGCCATTTCCTCTCATCCTATCTCCAGCCACCTGACAGAAGAGACCAGCACCCACCTCACTACAACCCCCTTTCAGGTAGTTGTAGAGAGCAATAAGGTCTCCCCTCAGCCTCCTTTTCTCCAGACTAAACAGCCCCAGTTCCCTCAGCCACTCCTCATAAGACTTGTGCTCCAGGCCCCTCACCAACTTGGTTGCCCTTCTCCAGACACGCTCCAGCCCCTCAATGTGTTTCCTGTAGTGAGGGGCCCAAAACCGAACACAGTACTCGAGGTGCGGCCTCACCATTGCCGAGTACAGGGGAACAATCACTTCCCGAGTCCTGCTGGCCACACTATGTGCTGTTTATTTTAAAAAGAGAGGGACAAAAGCATTCTTTACCTCATTAGTGCTGCAGGATGTCCTTACACAAGCATAATTATACTTTGCAAAAAGGCTAGGAAGACCACACAGGAAGGGTATTGAAGACCTGGAAAAGGTACAGGAGACACAAAGCATGATAAAAGATCGAAAGTTATTATTTATGGACAAAGTACAGGCTGCTTTTTTTTTCTTTTTTTTTAAGAGAAACTGGAGACACTAAGAGATGTACATAATTCTCAAGGATATTAAAAGGTTAATGACAAAACTCATTCAGACCATTGCAAGCTGACTAGCAGGAGAGTTCACAATAAACTTGGAAAAAGCAGTGCTAAACCAGAGGTTTATGATACAGAATAGGGAAACGCTGTCTGTAGCATGTGGGTCCCCACCATCAATACCCCATCTTTTGTCTCGCCTCCACAGGCTGAACTGCATTGCGGCTTCTGTGTTTCAGGAATGTGACTCCTGTCCTTGACCTCGTCTGCAGATAAATACAACATGCCCCTTACTGCTGAGTGGTTTGGGAAGAATTTCAGCCAGACAAGAGAGCGGAGATAGAGGAAAGACAGGTGAGGATGTTTTTCATCTGCTCCTTTTGAACCAGTGTGTTTGACTTTGCCTACAAGACTTTGGGCAGCAGGGTTAAGTGGGGCAGGGCAAGGGAGTACATAGTGCCTCTGGGGTGGCATAATGAAGCTGGTCACAGGAGAGCAAAGGGGCTGTGACAGGAGGTTGCCACCCATGGAACGGGCCTTTTGGGTACCCCTTCTGGCACAGAGCCTGGAGGGGAAGCACTCGCTGCCTGGCTGAAGCACAGCGGGGTCTCACCACGCACAAGTGCGGGCTCCAGCCACAGCAGGAGAATGGGAGAATAAAGAATCCATAAAAAAAGAGGTGCTGGTGAGTTAACCCAGCCCCCGTCTCTGCAGATTACCCTTGGCAGCAGAGCTCATGTGAGCTTGCCTTCTGGGGGGTTCAGGCTTGGGATTAGGAGGTTTAATAGGATGGGTGCCTGTACACAGGTCAGTGCCTTGGGCTGGGACCTGGCCTGGGCTAGGAATGCCGCACAGGTAAGCTGGTCAGTAGCTAAGTACCAGGCTGGCCTGTCTGCCTCAGCCCATGCCAGAGCGTTAACAAAACACAAGCCCACCAGAGCACATCCTAAAATCTACTTCCTTTGCTGGTAAGGCAAGAACAAATTGTGGTGTTTTTATGCCTAGTGCCTTAAGCGCAGCTGGGAGTATTGCTGAAATTATATGCTTTCATTACAGGCTATGACAGTAACTGGGCTATCTAATTCTGCAATGTGGAAATCGCCTTTTCTCAGCTGCCAGTCTCAAAGTCAAGCTTTCATTGTGCAAATAAAATGGGGTATTCCACCCTCCTCCCCACCCTCAATTGTCACCAATATCTAGCAGACGGAATATTCAAAATGTTTTTCCCTCCAATACAGAATGGCTGGTGGGAGTCATCAGGTCATGTGAAAAGACAGCTGAGTGCAATTTTTTCAGCAAGAAACAAAAGAAGAAGGGAGGATTTAAAAAATGATTTTGTTGCTGCATACATTTTTATGATTTGTTATGTGTGTGTGTGTATATATATATATTTTAATTACTGTTGGGATGTGAAGAAACAAAGAAAAAGAACAGACAAGCATGCTGCCATAGAACTTGGTGAGTATTACTTGTTACAGAACTGAATTTTATGGTGTCACACATCAGTTAAGTGACATGTATTGGGGACCAGGAGGATGGTACTTTATGCAAATTCCCTGAGGTCAGTGCAAATTCTCCACTACCTTCATTAACATGGGATGAAACTTTTGATGGGACCTAAAACCAAGAAAGTTTAAAATGTAGCAGGTGAGGGTAGCCTCATGTGCATAGCCCCTTGCCTCAGAAAGCTGAATGCTCTTGCACATTTGACATAATCCAATTAGTTGATTTCCTCAGTGACATTTCTGTAGGCTCATATACAGAAGGACAGGGAAACTGAGATTTATAACGATAGCTATTTCTAGCAAAGGTCATTTCTTTATTGGTGAACAACCTGTCCTTAGTCATGCTGATGATGAGGCGTTGAAGGATAAGGGAGAGGCTGTATAGCTTTAAAGCTTATCAGCGAATAACATAAATAGAGCATAGATCATCTTTCTACTTGGACCAGGAGGCTTGCAATCTACCACCATCAGGCCAAAGCCAGGGAGCAGGAGTCAAAATCCAGAAAAAAAAAATAAAAAATTGGGATTTCTGTCACGATTGTGAGGGAGCCTGGATATTTCAGTGTCACCATAGTTGGGGGAAAAGGGGAGCCACAGAGCACAAGCATATATTTTTGGATAGTAAGGGTGTCCTTGGTGGAACCAACTGCTTACAAAGAACCGGGTCTGGCTGCTCTGGGGACTCCCTGGTTGGCCGTGCCAACTTCCCAATTTGAGCAGCTCTCAGCATCCCGCTCCATGCCATTTCCAGAACAACACAGATAAGGGCATGCTCAAATATACACAAATACACTTCCTCAGCTGTCCTTCCTTAGGCAAGTAAGGCAGCAGTTTTGACAGGACTATGGTTTAAATAGATTGTATCATACATATTGTGCATCGTTAAAGAATAAAACAGCATCTGCCTATTCATCACGACTATTTTTCCTGCTTGCAGAAGAAAAGGTCTTTGACACTGTACATAAAACGATACATCATTTTTTTCATAATCACGAGGACCCTTCTGGGATTCATGTGAGAGTGGTTCATTCAGCTATTGACCTTCAAAGTGAGTATTGGGTACTTTGGTGTAACTAGCTTTGCTTGTTTTCACCATCAAGCTCATAATATTGCATTAAGTAAAAACGTGACTGTTTCCCTAGATTTTGGCTCAGATCCTGAATTATGCTCTATAGCTGAGCTATGGTTTCTGCTGGGTCACTGGCACAAATCAGGCTTATGGTTGGCAGGACTGGTCAAGAGATCTTTTCAATATGGCAATGAAGTCAACACAGGGGTTCCTCACTGATCCATCAGAGTGCTCTGACCAGGGCAAGGGGTATGGGGTTCTTCATCCATGCCCTTGCTAATCCCTTTTTGCCAATTATTGATTCCTTTGGGGTCTGAGCTGCCAACAGAAGTCACAAGGGCTTTTGAGGTGGTCTGGTCTAGGACTCAGTCCAGTAACCTGAGAATGCTGCGGTGGCCTCTAGCTTCCAATCTGCAGCTGAAGAGCTTGCCCTTCTTTCCAGAGTAATTGCTCACACCCTTAGAAATCTAAAGCTTTCCCCAAAATTGCAAGAGCTGAGGACTGCTACTATTAAAAACTGTAAAAATAAATAGATAATCTGTAGGATAATTGCCTATGTTATGATTCTCCCCACACAACAAGGGAAAAAGCAACCTTATGCTGTGTACGTCTTAGGCCTGGTGTAACTTGAATCCGAAAGCTATGAAGGAAATGGAAAATGTTAATAAATAATGATGTTTGAAACACAAGTCACTGAACAAACCACCAGACCTTCTGTGTTTATTCCACAGGACAGAAAATGTCTATCTCGGTTTGAGGAAAATAAAATCTTAGCTAAAGATATGTCCTAGGAATTAGCCAGGATGCTGCATGGTATTCAGAAGATAAATCAGAGAAGCTTGCAGATGATTAACTCTTGGTAATGTATAAAGAATAAAGACAACTTTTGAAATAAAATCACTACAACTGACTACTTGACATTTCCCTGGTATGAGGAAGCAAGGATCTCCTCAGGGCCACTGGAATTTTAAATTACCTTGTTTGATCCACTTTACAGCTGCCAGATTTCCGTCTGGTATTTTCCAAGTTAGAACCAAGCAGATGTGTGCTCCAGACTGTGTGTTCTCAGTCTGATGCGTTCTGGAAATCCTGGCCTCATTTCCCAAATCCTAAGCAGGTGATCTGCACTTAAAAAACCAGTAATGTCTCCCTCAAGTGTGTTGGAATTACTCTGTGCGTGCAGACCAGCTGCAAAACTGGAACAGAAATCTTAGACAAATGTGCAAAATCTTCAAATTGTAGCTTCAAAAATATTCAGGGAAAAAAAGAGCATTTCTAAGAAAATCTGTACAAATAGTACAACTGTCTTTCACATTCCAGTGTAACACTTTTACGAAGGAAAATCACTGCCTCTTCCAGGACAGCTCCAAATAGGTAGGAAATGCATGCCCTCTGGCAGCTCGGATAAGTAAATCTGTCTTGAGAGAAGGCAAAGGAATGAAGATTAGCACATTATAAGCAAAGGGCTGACCTTTCTAATAGCCCAAATATTCACCCTCTCCAAAGTAACTTAGTCGAGCTTAGGCCTGTGGCCTTCCACACAGTCATTCTTTCTCTCCTTTCACTCCAACCACTGAATGCTGGCAGCCTCTCTGATATGCCGGCACAGAAAGAGGCAGCTTAGGGAAGAGGAGGAAAAGACTGGAACAAGGAGCTTCCCAGTCCATGGATCAGGCTTGGACTCCATTTGGTTTGTCATGGGAAAGAACATAGAGGAGGACTGCAAAGCCCTGAGGCTTCAATTTCACAGCTGCTCTCAGACCTCCACTGCATTATCTTTCTTATTTCCCTGTGCTTCCACTCGATAGCTGGCTTAGTTTCTTACCTGGTTTCGGATTAGCTCCCACAGCATCTCACACAACCATGTCATCCTGACTCTGGAATCCCACTTGTTGCAAACATCGCTTTGGGATCTAACACTTAACACAACCTTACGGGTGTAAGGAGGCAAGCGGGCAAAAAGCTGTGTGGCATTTTCTCTCTGAACCAGAATAAAGCACCATTTCATTTTAGATCAATACTGGAATCAAGGGCTCACACCTGGCTCCTGACACCCCCTTAAGGGCGCTGTGCTGTAGAAGTGTTCAGCCAGCGGGGTTACTGGAAATTCCCAGCCCACCTCCCACAGGGATCGCCCCCCTCATTGCCCCCTTCTCCCCCACCGATACTTTTACACAGAACTCCGCAGAACATCCAAACCCAGATGTTTGGGTGAAGCTCACAGAGGACGTCATCAAGCTAAATCAGCAAAGAAATATCGCCCTGCCTGCGTTACTGAATTTCGTATTTCATCTCCACCAACTTCCCATCCCCACAAGAACTCCGGAGCACCTCCAGGACCAGGGCCTGTGCTGCAGGATTTGGGTCGGGCTCGGCGCTGGACCGACACCTCCTCAGGGCCGGGCCCGGCGCCGTTACTGTCCCTCGCGGTGGTCTTCCCTTCCCTCCCCTCCCCTCCCGCCGCC